CAAGGACTACCCAGCTCATGCCACCTCCTTAATGAAAACTTTCCCGGTTCCACACTACCCCAAGCGAACATGATCTTTTTCTCTCTCTGTAGAATTTCTATCTCATTCTCTGAGCACATACCGTGTTCTGCTATGTACACCAGTAACTTGTGTTCTTGTCTTCACCTTTTATTGATTTTTTATTTTATTTTATTTATTTATTTTTTATGGAGAGGAAGCAAGATGAATAGAGAGTTATGATAGAAACATCAATTAGAGAGTTATGATAGAAACATCAATTACAGACCTCCCACTGGGGATGTGACCACAACCAAGGTACATGCCCTTGATTGGAATCGAACCCAGGACCTTTCAGTCCCCCTCTATCCATTGAGCCAAACCGGTTTCGGCTTGTCTTCACCTTTTAATCAGGGCATAAACCTCATTCCCCTGTGTGTTTCTTAGTGCCTTATACCTAAAGGTATCCAGCAAACACTTGTCAAATGAACACATGTTGTCATTGGGATTCATACTTTGTCCCTGAACATACAAATGCTTCACACATCCCTGACATCCCTGTTCAATTTCTTTTTTTTTTTTTTAATATATTTTACTGATTTTTTTACAGAGAGGAAGAGAGAGGGATAGAGAGTTAGAAACATCGATGAGAGAGAATCATCGATCAGCTGCCTCTTGCACACTCCCTACTGGGGATGTGCCCACAATCAAGGTACATGCCCTTGACCGGAATCGAACCCGAGACCTTTCAGTCCCCAGACTGACGCTCTACCCACTGAGCCAAACCGGTTTTGGCGCTGTTCAATTTCTTGAGCGAATCCTTTCTAAGGTCTCCGTGGTGTGGGGCTCAGTCCCTGCTCGGTCTCACACAGTTCCTTGTATGGAGCACCACCAGGAACTGTAGAGATCTCCTTGATTTTTCACAGCAGTCCTGTGAGCTGGGCATGGTCTCTGTTTTAAAAGTGAGGAAATGGACAGTCAGAGACCCAGGATCCAGACCCCAGATCACATAGAGGGTAGCAGAGCTGGGATTGATTCAAAGTGACATCTTCCTGACTCCCGTGACTGTGCGGTTCCTGTCGCTCTGTTGCTTTTCTAAAGTAAAACATGTGCCCCCTCGGAAAGACCAGGTGTGTGGGGGGCAGTCACCCCGCACAGACAGCTGTTTGGCAGAGCTGGGGGCAATCTGCAGAGGATCGGACAGGCTGCTGGCACCCCCTTTAAGTTCTTGAGCAGATTAGAAAATAGCTAAGAATTGTGGGTAAGGGACAGGATGGGACAGAAGTGACCAAGACGGAGGAGACTGTGGGAAGAGAGGACTATTCTTTGTGTGTGAAGTTCTCTTTCTGCTGACTCCTTTTGAATAACTTTTATCTCCTGTACATCTTGGCTCCAATGCCACCTTCTCAAAGGGGCATTGCCCCTCACTCCCTCACCCTGGTTTGTATTCCATTTCTTTCCTATGGCAGTTATCATCTTTTACTGACAACTTGCACGATCTCATTCCTGAGCCTGATCTCCATAAGCTTCCCAGGAAGCTCCCCCACATTTGTGAAACCCTCTTAACAAATAAGAGGACACATGTGAAAAGCCACTAGAATAAATGGCTCTTAGATGGAGTCAAATTAGTGTTTATGTAGGGTTTTGGGTCCTTTTCCCCAACAGTTCTGCCGAGGGAGGGAGGAAAGTTAGATGTTAGTAATTTTTCTCCTCACAGTCACAGGTGGGAGGAACTCCGGAGAGAATAGAGAGAAAGAGACCAGAAATGAGCTGGGGCTAAGGTGGCCTCTGAGCGGAGTGGCGACAGGACTGTGGGGCGAGGAACAGCCTGTCCCACACCTCCGCAGGGGGCTGATCCCCGAGACCCCCTGAGCCCCGGCCCGCCCCTCTCCCCAATTCCCATCAGCGCAGGCTCCCCAGAAGAATGCAGGTCAGGAGCATAAGCGACCTTTCACACCTCAGACAAACTAAGTTTGTTTTCTCCTTTTCTGTCCCGCCCGCAGCGGGAGGGAGGGGGAAATGGGACGGGCCTTGTCCAACTTTCTCCGGCAACAATGCCCCCGAGGAGCCGAGGTGGAGGGAGTAAAGGATCTATTTATTTTGGCTCAGGAGGGACAATGTAAGCAGATGGTCTTTGATGGGATTAGCGGCGTAATCTCTCAGACCCTGGTAAATTGGAAAATGATCCATTATATTCCGCAAACCTTTGGCGGCTTCAGCTTCTGGGGAGGGAGGGGCCGGGCCGGGGGGCACCTTGTTATAAAGGATCCCCCTCTGGGAGCAGGCAAATCCCCGCAGCGCCGAGAACTTGGGAAGAAGTTCGTTAGCGTGTGATGCAAGCCCCTCTCTTCTGGGAGAACACAAAACTCAGAATTCCCCTGGGCTCTCTTTTCCCCCCTCCCCCTCCCTCATTTGGGGGTGCTGGAGCTTCTTCCCTGCCACCTCTCGCCCCAACCCTTTCCATTCCCAGGGCGTTCAGCGAACCCTTCTCTGAGAAAGAGCTGTATTGGGCCTCCTGCCTGGGCAGGTCAGAAAATTCTCCTTAGACTCCCAGTTATATTCCTGCACTGGCATCTCCGTCCACTTTCCACTCCAGCCCCACAGCTCAGGGGGGCCCTCCACGTGCCTGAAAGCAGGCAAAGAGCCAGGAGGAGGAAGAGGAGGAGGAGGAGAACTAGGTGAACTGCACCTGGGGCAGGGATTAGGGCAGAGGGAGAACTGTGAAAGGGGCGGTGAGGTGATAATGAACCACTTTGCCAACCGCTCCCTCCTCTTCACTCACCTCCATCCTCCAGAGCCCAAGTGCCTCTGGGCCTGGGGGGATCCCCTCCATCTGGAGGATCTGGACTGCTGGGTTGGGGGCATATGGGAGACCCATTAGGATGAGGTGTGGTGCAGAAGAGGCACTGGTGTAGTTGGATCATATAAGGCAGTGGTCGGCAAACTCATTAGTCAACAGAGCCAAATATCAACAGTACAACGATTGAAATTTCTTTCGAGAGCCAAATTTTTTAAACTTAAACTTCTTCTAATGCCACTTCTTCAAAATGTGGTATTTTGTAGAAGAGCCACACTCCAGGAGCCAAAGAGCTGCATGTGGCTAGCAAGCCGCAGTTTGCCAACCACAGATATAAGGTATTTCCAGCATGTGTGCTATTTTGCAGCCACCCATCACTTTGTGGCTTATAAAGAAACTGGTGTGCAGGCTATCTTCAGATCTTGCAGCAGTTAAGTGAGGGGGGCATTTGAAAAACTGGAGAGCAGGGGCAGAGGATACGTGACCTGCCTGAAGTCACCTAGGTCAGTTGCAGTTAGGAATGACATTTAATGTCATTATGCTGTGAGATCTGTTCATGTTGATAAGTGTTAGTGCAGCCCTGGCTGCTGTAGCTGAGTTCGTTGGGGATTCCAGGAAAGGGCACAAGCCTGGGCTGTAGGCTCTGTCCTGGGCAGGGGCCTGCAGGAGGCAAATGATCCATTTTTCACTCATTTTGATGTTTCTCTGTCTCCCCCTCCCCATTCTCCCCGCCTCATTCTCCCTCTTCCTCTCTCTCCCTCTCTTTCCCCCTCTCTCTAAAAATCAGTTTAAAAATCTTTCAAAACTATATATGTCTAATTTTTTAACTACTGCACATTTTTTTTATTTATGTCAGCATTTAAATTGTTTCTAAGACTTTATTCTTACAGCCATTCTTGAACAAGTACTATCTGATTGGAATTGTATCAAATGTATAGAATTAACTTGGGGAATTAAAAAATAAACATAAACCGTCTTAACATGTAGTTATCACCATTCTCTGAAAATAAATATACAAATAAAGAAACTGGGAGGGAGTGAACAGGTAGGAAGGCAGCACAAATTACTCAGTTCCAAGTAGAAGTTCCAACACTTTGGCGTGCGTTAACTTTCACTGTAAGGGATGTAGCAGGTGGAGACTCCAGGAGGAATGTGACTTGGGTGGTATTTTATTTCAGGCTATTTCAATGAACTGAGGGATATTTTATTTTATTTTAGTATAATTTTAAAAGAGAGTGGCACTTTATTGTATATTTGTTTATTGGAGGTGATTTGAGGCTGACACGGATTAATGGATCAGAAAACAGGAAGGCACAGTGGAAAGGCAGCAAGCTACAGTCAGTCCCCACTTCTCAATGTCCCCCCACTTTTGACCCCCCCCCCCCAAATATGAAAAATCAAAAAGTCGACATGACAGTTCTAAATCAGAAAAAAAGGCTACGTGTTCTTGGCCCCTCTTTCCTTCTCTCTCGGCTGCCTTCTCCTTGGCTGGCCAGGCTCCCCTCTCCCCCAGCGCCTCTGGGTTACTCATTGCTCAGCCCGGGCCGGGCCGGGGCTGGGGTCCGGGGCGGCGGCGGGCGGCGGCGGGCGGGCGGGCGGGCGGGCGGAGCCGCAGTCCCCGCTCCGGGCGGACGGGCTTCCCCAGGCGCTGGCGGCGCCGCGGACACGGAGGCGCGTCTGCCAGGGCCTCGTGGCCGTGACCGCGAACCTGCGGAACTGACCCGCGAGGCGGCGGGGCGGCCGCGCGGCTTCATTGCACAGGAGGGCGCGGCGGCGGGCGGCGGGCGGCGGCGGCTGTGTCCGCGCTGCGGCCGGAGCGGCCCGGGACGACCCTCCGCGGGGCTTTCGCCGGAGCCGGGTCGGCGGCGCTCGGCCGCGCTCCCGCCCTCGCCCCCCGGGGAGGTCCCTGCGCTCGGCGCCTCGGCGCCTTTTCGTTTGTATTATACTTTGTTTCCTTGCCTTTCCTATAATCAGTTTAACATTTTACGTATCGTTGGCATGTTTCCTTTTTATGTCATTTAGCGTCATTTTATCTCATGTGTTCACATTTGTTTCTTTCCAAATGGATTTTTTCCCCTCTGTTTCCCATTCTCTCCTTTCCGCCGGCTGGGTACCTCGGCTCCTCTCTTGCTTCATTTCCCTCCGGGGCGCCCATGGTCGCCCCTCTCTCCGGGCAGCGGAGCCAGGGCAGCAGGAAGCGGGAGCGCCCGGACCGGACAGGTGGGCGCCCTCGGGACTGCGGGCCGGTTCAGCCTGGACTGGCCGGGCCCAGGGCCAGACAGGAAGACCGTTCTACACACGCAGATGCCTCCGGGGCCGCAGACCATGATCCTCGAACCCTGAGCCTCGCAGCCAAGTCAGGGATGTGCACCCACAGCTCGCAGGGATGAACACTGAGACCAACAAACGTCACACATGCAGGCCTCAACCTCACACACATACGCACTATGGACATACATGTGACTGTAGTACATACACCCCAACCCACACACATGATGGCACGCTGCAAACAGACATGACCCTACTCGCCAGCTTAGGACTGACATTCTCCGGCGGTCAGTGGTGACCTTGCAACAAGCACTGAGCACACTGAGCATGGGCGATGGGAAGAGGACCCCCCTGCTTTCACCAGGGCAGCCATATGCACAGCCACCCAGTGCTCAGTACCTCTGCACAAGGTTGCAGGGGCTTCAAAGATGGGGGACGCCGGCTGCTTGTATAGCTAAGGGATCCAGCCCACATCCAAGAGCCTGAGTCCCAGAAATGAGCATCAGACCTAAAGAAGCCATCGCTGCACCAGGAAAACTGCGCGGCGTTAAGAGCATAAAGCAGGCGTGGATGTGTGTGCCAGCCTGTATTCCGGGCTGCGTGTATCACACACAGTTCTGGCACGTGGCCAGTGCGCGCACAGAGACCGTTATTTCTGTGGAAACGAGCAGAGGAGGGGATGTATGTGGTTCCAGGGATAAAAGTAACACGTACACACAAATACCAGCACAGGTAACAGCACAAACCCAGGGGGATGGGAAGTAGAAAACCTCTCTCCAGCTCAGGGTATTGTCATCATCAAGCTGGTGCACTGGCTCAGGCTCTGTGATGGGGTCTGATCTCCCTTCCGGGGCAGACATGATTGCTTGGTGTCATGGGAGCCCTGTGGGGAAAGGCTGGTGTGTCAGAGAGCCATACTGATATATCGTCAATCCACCAAAAGAGTGATTTTGTTAACTTTAGGTGGGGGGTGGGAATGGGGGGACTCTGGGGTAAAAGACTATCTAGACTGCACCCCTGAAGTCCTGGGTCTGGAAGGTGCCATTGGCAGTAGCAGAGCAAGTGGTGGCCAGATACGCCCGCCTGATGGTGGGCACACAGAGACCACGCCGCAGCTCCTGACAACCGCGGGCAAAAGAGGCAGGAAGTGTGTGGTCCCAGATGTCCTATTGGATCGCCAGGGTGATTCATTCTGGAGGCGAGAGAGATATTTATGTGCGCTCATATGGCTCTTGGGCTTGGAACTCGGCTGTTGTCCAGGAGAGCCACAGAAGTAGGAAAGTGTATAGCTCAGAAGAGAAATGCTGGTGAGTCCCCATCATAGAATGCCAGGCTGAGAGGAGAGAAGGGGCAGCCCTGGGACTGGGAGCGAGTGGGTCCATTGTCCAGACGAATCCAGCTGAATGCAGAGGGCTGTGCCTGCTGAAGCTGCCAGAACTCTGGGCTGAGTCTGGCTGAGGCTGGGGGAGACACAGGCAGAAGTGAGGGCCACATCTCAGGTCCTTTACGTGGGATGGAGAATGGCAAGCATGGGGGCTGGCTGTCAGTCTGTCTGCCTTGTCCTCGACTGGGGTTCTGGTGCCTGTCAGCCCCTTTCTCTCTCATTCTTGTAAGTCTCAGTTGCTGTGTCGAGGTTTCTCGCTCTGCCCAGGTTGTCTCTTTCACTGCTCCGGGCTCTTTGACTCTTCTGAATTATACAGCCACAAAGAGACCCAGCCAGACCCAGGAGCTGATACAAATGCAAATGCATATCCTAGACGCATGGTCGTTGGTGATAAAGCCCATCCATCTTGCTGGTCTGTATATATATTTATGTGAGCACATTTTCCACTTCTCTGTAAAAATCTAAATACAGCCTTGAAATTTCGTGTCTGGGTGTTGTCTCTTTGGGTGTCAGTGTCCATTTCTCTCAGAGACCCTTCCCTCTCCTCATTATACCAGGCACCAGAGCAGGCCCTGCCACAGGATTGGCAATCCTCCCTGCCCTCTATATTGCCTTCTTTGAAGTTTGCCTCAGGCGGTTTGCCAAAGGTGTTTTGGGGGACAGAGACAGCTGGATAGACCTGGAGAAAGAGATATGTGAAGCAACAGAGAAACATCTTGCTCTTAGGGGCTTTGGTGACAGTCACAGAGATTCCTATCCACCGGGGCGTGGAAGCCTCCTGTGCATGGGGTGGAGGGGAGGGTATAGATGAGGCTCTGAAATCCCAGGAGCTGGTTCATGGCCACCACCCAGAGCCACCAGGATGCCATGCAGCCAGGCAACTCAGCAGGGCAGGTCCTGGGAACAATAGGAAGGAAAAGCAGTAACAACTCTCACGGCCCTGCTTCCCAGCCCTGCAGGACACGGAGCTGGAGCGCCCAGGACTGGACAGACAGCAGGCAGTCCTGAGGGGGAGGAGGGCTCCTGCCAAGCGTGGGGGAGAAAGGAGGGCAGAGTCAGACTTGGTCTGTGCAGTTTGTGCTCCCCTCGTGGTGCTTGGGATGAGGTCCCTGACCTCTTCGCAGGTGGTGGGAAGGGTGCAGAGAGGTGCTAGTGTGGGGTGGGCTGGAGTCACGCACCCAGCGATCCCGGAGCGCCCACCGCTCCACTTCCAGACAGACAGAGCCTTGTTCTCCCCAGACCTCCATTCTCTGTGCCTCTCTCCCTGTGTGTCTGCCGCCCTGTCTCTGGCTTCTCCATTCCCCTGGACTGTGAGGTCTGTCTCTCCCCACTTCTGTGACTGCTTCACAGCTTCTCTGGCTTCCCCTGCCTCTGTTCTCAGGTCTCTGTCTCTCCGTCACCGCCCCCCCCCCTTTGTTAATTCAAAGGATTCTCACTGAGCCCCTCCCCACTCTTCCCAGAATAACATTGAGTAAAATGAGCGACAATCCGCTGGGAGGTTTTTCCCTGTCCTTCTCCCCGCAGGCTCCGCTTCAGGCCTACAACCCCCTCTTACAATGTCAGATAATTGCTGGTGTGCAGCTCGGAGGAGCTGGAGCTGATACCAGGGAAGGAGGGGGGAGAGAAATAAATAATAATCTGCTTCCATTCAGTGGATATAGGTTACCTGATTTGCATATATGCTAATGATGCTATAATTACCCTGCTGTTCTGGCCTAGGAATACATATATACAAGTTCAATAAATACATAGAATAGCAGAGCTAGGCCTACCAACACCACCGCCAAATTGTACAGTGCGTGTCAATATACACGTGTACACTTCTGTGTACTCTGAATGCAGGCCCCTCTCTGTTAGAATGCACCCTCTTACAGACCCCAGCTCTCCTGGCTGTCAGAGAGCCCTTCTGTGCGTTGAGGCAACCCCAAGGAAGGAGGAAAGAGATGCCTGAATGAGGGAATGTGCTGGATTATGTTGAATTCTTAGTATTAAATATCCTTATGAATAAGTTATTAGTATTTTTTAGGGAAATCAAAGACTTTCCCAAATTATCAAACGAGTTATTATTACTTGAATGCCACACACACACACACACACACACACACACACAAACACACACACACACACCCGCTAAAGGCCCACACTTTGGGGGTGCAGGTTGGGAGATAAGAAGAGGACACCTCCACCTCCTACGCCTGTTGAGATGTTCAAGAATGCGCTGTCTGAGGGGAGAGAAGTGGACTCCCCTTCCCCAAATCACCCCCAGGCCTTAGCCTCCTAGCACTCTCCCCACTCGGGGACCAGGGGAGATGCTGGTGGAGTCGTGCAAATTTTTGGATGATGGTGCAGAAGTGGGTAGGAAGCTTGGAGGAACATAAAAGACGCAATCCACAGCTGTCTGCTTTTAATTATAATTATCCCCTTTTGCTTCCTTTCTGGCTAATGAAGGGGGATTTAATTTTTCCCCCTCCCTTGCCTCCCCCTCCCTCGTTGCCCTAGAATTGAGAAGTGGAGTGAGTGGAGGGTCCTCCTCCCCTTCCTTCCCATCCCCTGGTTACTGGGAGAAAGGCAGCCTGCAGAGGGTGGGGACAGTGTGAAGAGATTTGCAGGAACAAAAGGACAGGTTTGGGTTGCTGGACACGTCCCAGAGTTGGAGAGACACCCCCCCCCCCATTCCACTGGCACCCCCTCCCGTCAGCCCCACCGCTCCCTAGACAAGGAACTCAATGTCTTCCAGCCGGTGAGAAAGGAGCTGAAGGGAGTCCTGGTCTAGAGGGAAGGGGGAGGGAAGGGGTGGAGAGCTGGGGTGCAAAATTAGTCTCAAAGGATCTTTATTTCTGAGCTAGTGAAGCAGATGTAATCAAGGGGAGAGCAAAATAATCATCATGGGAGGAATGAGGGGCGGGGGAAGCTGGGGCTGGAATTGGGGGACTGGGCCAGGATGGGGGGCAGGGAGCCGTGGGTGAGGGCAGTCTGTTGCCTTCCCTCACCTCCCCAAAGGCTTCCTACTTGGAAGTGGGGAAAGAAGGATCAGGTCTACAGACTCTGACCTTAGCCCTCAGAACCCCTCTCTCAGAGCTTAGTGATGGCCAGGCCAGAAGGTGGCTGGGAAGGCACCGGGAGCAGAGAGCCCCCGCCCCAGCTGGGGGAGGGGGTGTGGAGAGGGAGACTGAAAGCAGTGGGGGAGGGTGAGAGAGGGGAGCCCGCAGAGACTCAAGTGGCCTCCAGGTCTGTGGGACAAAAGTTGGAAGGAGATTTGTGTATGGGAGAGGCGGGGAGGGGGCCTTGGGGAAGGGACGGGTTTTGACAATGAACTTGAGACAAACTTCATTAGCATGCAGGCCTGCTGTCTGTCACCTCCAACCCAGACTGAGTTCTCATGCAGGCCAGGAAGAGTGGGAGGGGGAAAAGGGAGGGCTGAGGGTGGGGATGAGAGAGAGAGAAAAAAGACCAGACCATTGTAACCATTCTGGGCCCCAGCTTCCACCAGCTATCAGTCTGGCCCTGGAAACCAACCCCAAATTGCTCTCCCTCCTCTAAGAACAAGATAATTTATCTCCTACTTTGAATCTTTGGTCCCTCCCCTCCTCTTGTCTAGACTCTCAAGCGGTGGCCTTCATGGCCCCCTACCTTGTCCCCCCACTCCAGCTCCCAGCCTTCCTCTTCCATTGTCACTTTCTCCTTCACAGCTAAGAACTGGATCTGTGATTAGTCGAGCTGACAGGGGCAGGGAGTGGGGGGAGGTTTGGGAAGGAGGGACTGGAACACTCTGAACCTCCAAATGGCACGTTTTGCCCTCCGTCGCTCTGTGGCGTTATCCACTCCGCTCCCCGTGAGACACATGCAGCGTGTAACATGCTCTCAAGTTCCCGGCGGATGAGAACTGGACGGAGACGGGGTCCAGGCGTTCCTGTTGCACCCTTTCTCTCGCGTCCTCTGGGGACGAGGGTGGCCTGGAGGAACAATGGCTTCCCTTAGCCCCTCATCCTGCCGCAGGTTAGAAAGGCAGAGGGAGGAGGTGGACACGGTGGAGATGACAAAGACCCTTCCTACGCAGGAGGGAGAAGGGAGAAGGGAGAAGGAGGGGGCTCATCATCGGAGTGTTATTTTGGCAGCAGTGGTGTCTCCAGACGGGTTTTTTTCCTACCTTTCCAGGGAGATCAACAAGAGAAAGAAAGAGGCAAACGGAAATTCCTGAATGGAGAGACAGATGCGACGTCATCAGAGCTGCATCCTCCCGTCCGCTGGAGGCTAGGAGCCCGGGAGACGCTGTCCAGCAGCGGGGGTGACCGAGCAGTTCGCCCTCCCAGGAGCCTGGTAAGTGACCGTCCGGGGGGGGGGGGCCTTAACCCCCTCAGACACCTGGGCTGGGGGTGGAGTGGGGCGGGATCTCCTAAAATAACTTAGGTCCCCCTACCCTTCCCATTTGCCCTCCGACTAATGGAGGTGGGTACAATAATGACAGGAAGGAAAGGCTGAGAAAGGTGTAGGAGTGAGCAAAAGGGACGAGGCAGGTGTGTGTCGAAGTAGTTGGCAGAATGGGGTTTCCCTCCTGCTTCCCGGGCATCTGCCAAGGCAGCCAGCTGCCCTGCCCAGCCAGCCCACTCCTCTCCGTCCCCCTCCCTCACCTCACCCTGGCCCACTGGGAGACAGCTCACTACGTTTGTCAATAGGATTCGGGGGCTTTAGGGTCACAGTGCTACTGATCCTATTAACCTGCCCCGCCCTCTGCCCTTCTCTCCACAAAACCCGCCAACATCTTAATGCTCACCCCGGAGGAGAGGCAGGCAGGCAGATGGAGGAGACAGAGGAAAGAGAAAGTGCTTCAGTGTTTGGACTTCTGGCCTTCCCTCGCTCTGGCTCATTCCTCTGCCCCAGCCTCAGGTGTTAGGGCAGGACTAAGTCTGGAGGTCTGGGGGCATGGGAAGAGAGGAGCCACATTTCCAAAAAGAGTGGAGACCAGAATTAGGAAGAAAAAATCCAAAACCATTGTATAGGAATTAGTTTCGTTTCATCCCCTCCTCCTCTGCTTTCCCCATGAGCTGGCGGGGGGAGAGGAGCTGAGGGAAGCTCACAGGCCCCGCAGGTGCTTCAGCTCAAAGGAGGAGAACCCTCTCTAGCCCTCATCAGACCCGGCTGACAGTGCTTGGTTTTTAATTTTCTTTTTTCAAGAAAAGCCAGAGGATATAGAAAGAAGGTACTCTTCTCGCTCCCAGACCCCACCCACACGGTGCTTTCTGGGAGATGGGCTGGGACCATTGTGGGGCAGTGGGACACACACACACACACACACACACACACACACACACACACGGACAGACTACCTTTGGTAACCCAGAGCCAGATTTCTGGGCTAGGCTGAGGCTGCCAGACACCAAACATACACACACATGTTCCACGCTCCTGGGCACCACCTTCCCCAGGGCATTGTGTGTGTGTGTGGGGGGGGGCAGACAGAGATAGGGAGGAGAGGAACTATTGCTTCAGGAACTTTATGACTTCCTTATTTGGGTGGAGGAAGGAGCTAGAGGCAAGTATGCTTGTGCCTATTTTCTAGCAAGTCTGCCAGTTGTGGACGGGGGTTGCTCCTCTCTTTGGTATGAAATGGATGGGCTGGCAGAGCTGAGGCTGGGGGTCAAGAGGGTATTTGTGGGTGTGAGGAATGGGGAGGGGATGTTCTAAGCTTGGATTTGAGGCTTATCCCTGCTCCCCAGCCCTCCTTTTCTCTGATTTCCTCTACATGTAGTAGTCAGGTTACCTTAACTTTACCGAAAAGTAGTTGTGGAATTGAGTTTGAGGTAAAAGGATTCTCTCTCTCTCTCTCTCTCTCTCTCTCTCTCTCTCTCTCTCTCTCTCTCTCTCTCTCTCTCTCTCTCCTCTTAGAATTTTAGGATCTGGGTCACCCAACATTAAAAACACACACACACACACACACACAAAACCCTGCTTTGTATTCACTCGTTTTGTGTATGTGAAAAAGAGGAGAAAAGAGAGAAAGAAAATGGATAGACATAGAATATGTCTTTATGGATCCTTAGCGATATGCATGGAGAGATGACAAGTGCATAGGTAATGACAGAGATGGGGGAGAAAGCTAGAGACACAACACGATTGACAATATCGTAGCTACATAGCACTTTACAATGGACAATGCAATTAGATCTAAACAGACAAAAACACACCCCTGGCCCCAGATCCTTCCTTCTGTCCTGAGCATGATTTCTGCTGGCCACGGACAGGTAGTGCCCACTGGACGGAAGAGGTAGGGCCCACTGGACAGAAGATTTAAGTCAGAAGGGCCACAGCACCCCCACAGGCTCAAAGCCCCTGGACCTAAGGTTTGGATGGAGGTGGAGGGAGGCGATGGTGGAATCCTCCAGGCAAGGTGGAGCTGAGGCTGGAGAGGCCCTGGCCAGGCACCTTGCCCTCCCCGCATGTTGAGGCTTTTCTTGCTTGGCTATCTCCCTGTGCAGCCTCGAACTCTGGCAATTTAAGAGAGGAACTTAGACTGTCTAGGCCCTAAAAATATAAGACTGGGTGGGGGAGGGGAGAGTTGGTGAGAGAAAGACGGGGAAACCGGGGGATGCTAGCGGGGAAGACTGGTGTCACTCAAAGGACTTGAACCTTTGCATTCTCTCCCCTGACAGGTGCTGGGCGTCCGAGAAGCCTGTTTCTGGTGTCATCGTAGGTTTGGGGTATTTACTTTCTTATTTGTTTGTTGGTGAGGGTGGTGTGGGTGTGGGAGAAAAGGAAAGCTGGCTCTGTGTCATCTGTTTTCTCTTGTTCCCTACGCCCTCTCTATCCCACCCCTGTCTCCTCTAGCTTTCAGCCCCTGGTTTTGTTCTACTCTGATTGTAGTAAGACCTTATAGTCACTGCCAGTGGGAATGGAACAAGGCGGCTTAGGAGTGAAAGGCCACCCTGTGACGGGGGCAGGGGGAGGGGGGGGGGAGGAGAGAGAGAGAGAGAGAGAGAGAGAGAGGGAGAGAAGCGTTGGGGATCCAGGGAATTCTCTGGCCTTCTCTCATAGGCTCCTGAGGGAGGAGATGAAGGCCAGTTGCCCATGGGGAAGAAGGGAGCAGAGATACCTGTTCATGGCTGACAGAGGAGAGAGAGGAGCGTGGCTTGAGGTGAATAGGTACTAGGGAGCTTAAACCACTGTGAGTGGGGGGTGCGCCAGCGTGTACGAATCGGGAGGTGGTACTGCTGGAAGTATCTGTGGAGATGTATGTTCCCCGACCAGGGATCGAGTGAACTCTCAGCCTTGGCACATCAGGTTGACACTCTAACCAACTCAGCTACCTGTCCAGGACTATTAATTCTTTAATTATCACGCATCTACTATACTTGGGCATGGGTTAGATACCCTCGATTTGAGTAGCTTTGAAATCACCTCTGCCCTTGAAGGGCTGTCTCGTTTGCTACCTGAAGTTTCTTTTTTGAAACCGGAGCAACATGGTTTACCATACAAACCCATCCCAGGAGCATGACGGTGGGCAGTTTTCGGTTCTTCCATGTCTTATCACTCCATCTCCATGGGAACAAAGACAGGAGTGGTGGGCAGTTGGTTTTCCACCCACCCAGACAAAACCAGTGACTTCATCGGGAATCTGGATAGTGAGGGGGGTACAGTGCAGAGAGCACCAGGACAACTTAGACTCATTTCTGTTTTCTTTTGTGGGGGCCGCCTTAAATCTGACACTCTGTTTAGGCTGAGGGACCTCTGTAGAGTCTAATGCCACAGTAAGGAGCAGGGGGAATCTAGCTCTTTATCGGGGAAATTTCCATATGTACCCATTTTTCTCCTGACCTTGGCTTTGAGGAAGTCCAGTTTAGTCTGAATTTCACCAATGGGAATGGGGGTGAGTCTCCACTGGGCAAGGAAACCTGTCCTCCCCCTCCCCCACAAACATACAGCAGACAGAGAAAGGAAGTTCCCACTGATCCTGCTGCCTCTGGCTACGCTGTCTGGATGGCCCAGGCCAGGCTGTGGGGCCGTGGAAATAAGATGGGATGCCACAAAGGGCAGGAGAATCGGCTGGAAGTTGGTGACAGAGAAGAAAGGGGACAATGTTAGCTAGCAGGACAGCCAGCTCCTTCCCACAAGCTGGCCCCAGCCTTCCAGGCCCTGGGTCAGGGGAGAAGGAAGGGAAAGAAAGATTCCCTCAAGGAGCTTTTAAGGGATCTTGTGGGAGGGCACATAGGGAAGTCTTTGTAGGGGAGTTGGTGGTGTGTCTGGAGAAGCGTAGACTCTATTTAGAATTGCCAGAATGAGATTAGTAAGTACCCTATAAAGGGTTGTGAGGTGATGTATGGGACATGTCTGAGGTTTGTGGGCACAAAGGGGAATGGCAGAGGGGCCTATAGTTCCTCTGGGGCCCGGGATGGGGGATGCACTTAGAGAATACAGTGAGCAGCATCCTAGAGGGATAGACACACCTTCAGGGACCCCGGTGCTCCCTCCCACAGTGTTCCATTCTGAGCTGGAGGGGCACCTGGGAGGGGCAGGAGAAAACAAAGTAGGGAGTAGACACTTCGGCTCTTTCCTTCCCTCCCTGCCATGGGCCAGAGTGCTCCCAGCGCTGGGAGGGGGAAAGATCCACCCTGTGGACGCTTCTGAGAAGCCTTTGCCTTGAGTAAGGGCCCTGGGGCGCCGTGGAGACTGGCAGGGGAAGAGCTGAGCCAGGCACAGTCCTGAGGATGTCCTAGACTGGGAAATCGGGCAGATGCGTCAGCTCCACACCGCGTTCTGGGAGGGAAGCACTCAGTCCCTGGGCTTTGTCCTGTTTTCAGTGCTCTCCACCTCCCAGTCCCGCGGCAGTTACCCAGACATTCTCCAGCCCGTGAGGGAGGCAGCAAATGAAACCCTCTGGCCACTGGCTTGCATCTAGCCAAGGCAAATAGCATTCATGCTCGGCTTTGTGGCTTTGTCCCAGACTGCTCAGAGATGGGCCCTGGGATGGGTAAAGCAATCCGGCCAGGCCTGGAGGCCAGACCAGGGGTCCTCTGGGGTGCACCCTGGTTGGTGTAGTGTTCAAATATCTCTGGTGATAGGAGCAGCCATTATTATTATTATTATTATTATTATCATCATTATTATTATTATTTGTAGAGAAGGGACAAGTACGGTCAGGGAGTTGTAAGCTATCTCAGGACCAGGGATTCAAACTGTTCCCTGGTGGGCACAGAGGCTCGGCTGGCTCTCCAGCAGAAAGAATCCAAACACCGCCTGCCTGCGGGCTGGCGTCACTGGGCTCTGATTCTCTCAGCCAGATGGGGAGCCGGGTCGGGAACCTGAAACCTTGCTGGAGAGGGATCCTTCTCTCGGTCACTCCAGCTCTCCAGACACCCAGAGGTGGAACAGGGGTCGGGGCCAGGCCAGAGGGATGCAGGCGCAGGCGGTAGAGGAAGTAAAGGAAGCCCTCCATGACTAAGTCAAAATCTGCAGGGATTGCCCACGCTAATGCCAGCCGGGATCCTCCAGCCTCTCCCACCTGGGACTTTGGTGCTGTGAACAGGTCCAGGAGCCATTCTCCTTTCTGTCCGACGAAAAAGGAAGCCGAGCTCCTATCAGACTCCACGGCTCCCAATGGGAGTCCCCAGCTCCCAGAGCCCCTCACTGTTTGGGCTTGGAAACCAACAAGAAAAGTTTCTGCCCATCCTGAAAGATTAGGGTGACCGTCTGGGAGGAACCGGAACCCGAGAAGCACAAAGAATGTCCTATGGGAGGAGGCAGGTAGGGATAGTCTCCAATCATCTGGTTGTCTTTTCCACCTTTGAGTCCTGGTCCTGGTGCGGTGTACCTCGGGCCAAAATAGAAAATGTAAGACCTGCAAAAAGAGCGAGCTGCAGATGGCAGTGGATTGGAGACGGCAGGCAGGCGGGTGTGGAGACGAGGGAGGCGGCAAGAGGTTGGGAATCAGCACGCAGACATAGGAGTCCCGCCCCGCCCCCACCCCGTTCTCTTGGGGTGGGGCGCCCCAATTGCGCGCCCCGGCTCCAACTGGGAAGGGGTGGGGCGGAGCCAGAGGGGCAACCAGGCGGTGATGTCATGCTCGGCGGAGCCAATCAGAGGGCAGCCTGGGGAGGGAGCGTGAAAGGATGAATGAAAAGTCCGGAGCCGGAGCGCGCCGGGGCCAGAGCCGAGGCGGAGGCTGAGGTGGTCGCTGGGGAGGTGAGACGCGCTCTTCCCGGCTCCCTCCGCTCCGCCGAGGCTGGGGTTCGGGTGGGGGACTCCGCCCCGGCGCCTGCTGAGCCCGGGGACCCAGGACCCAGGGCCGAGGCGCTCTGTGGGCGGGAAGGGCCCGAGAGGACAGCGCCCGAGAGCACGGATGGGCACCTCGGGCTCGATGTAAGTGGCCTGGCCGGCTCGGGGCCGAGAGGGGCGAGCGCCTCGGGATCCAGAGCGCCCGCCGCCAGGGGCCGGCCGAGCCCCACGCCTTTCTCGGGGGCCCCCGGGGCCTCTGGACGATGCTCGTTACTGATGAAACCCCCGCCACCCCCCAGAGCACCTCTCACCCAGGACCCCCGGCCATTCTCGCCGCCCTGGGTGGGTTTTGGAGCTCGAGATGCCAAGCCGCTTTCTGGGGCTCGGCACCCCTGCCCCGCCCGCCCTCCCCTCTCCTCCCCGCACCCACCGCGGGCGCTGGCCGGCCCCCTTCCCGGGCGGGGTCTCTGTTCTCTCCTCTCTGCCCTCTCTTCTCCGGGAGGGACTGGCTTGGGAACCCCTGGTTCGCCTCCCACCCACCCCACCCCATCGGCTTCCCGCTCTCTGGGTCGCCGGGATTTCCCTGTTTCCTCCTGGGGCGCCTCCGGGGTTTTACCCTCGGGTTTCGCGGCCGCTGGACCCAGCCCTCTCCCGCCGCCTCAGCCAGCTGGGGGGAGAGGGGGAATCGCGCTCCCACGGCGCCCCCCGCGCAGGGTCGGGCTCCCCGAAGGCCAGACTCGGGCCCCGGGTGCGCCCCGGGTCTCCCAGAGGAGGGCAGTGGCGGCCGTGAGGTCCGGAGGCCTCGCCGGCGCCTCGGTCTTCCCGGTGACCCGGTGTCCCGGGTGCTGCGAAAGCCGCGGTCCCCTCCCCGGGCCCGGGCTCCCACTCAGGCCCGAATGGGGAGCGGGAAACGCGGCGTCGGAAGCTGGGGGGGGGGGGGGCGGGCAGGAGGCGATCCCCGGACTTCGGGGCCACGGCCGTCGTGTCCTTTCCACGCCCTTTTCGGTCTCCGTGGCGTCTGTGTCCCCGTGACTCGGGGTCTTTCGGGCTCGGACTCCGTGTCCCTGTCCGCCCCTCACCTGCACCGGCTCCCTCCGGGGCGGGCGGCCGGGGGCGCGGCGGCGGCGGCCAGGAGGCGGGGTTGGTTGTTATCTTTGGTTATCTAGCTGTATGAGTGGTGTGGAGTCTTCATAAAGCTAGATAACCGAAAGTAAAAATAACCCCATACACTACGCCGAGGGGCAGGAGCGGGGGAGGCCTGAGCGGGGTCTGCAGCCGCGGGGACCCACGGCCGGAGGAGGCGACCCGAGGACCCTGCGGCCCGCGAGCCTCGAGACCACCGGCCCGGGCCCGGCACCTCCGCGCAGGTGGGAGCCGCGGCCCGCCTCCCTGGGGCCGGGGCCTGGGACTCCCGCGCTCAGTTCGGGCGCAGGGAGGGGCGTGGGGCTCTCTCTCTTTGGGGCTGGAGCCTCTCCTGGCAGTTTGTGGACTGTCCGCTGCCGGGGGAGCTGCTCCAGGGGAGGGTCCGCTGGAACCGGGCTGCACCCGGGGCTCCGGCCGGGCTGCCCGCGGGGTGCTGGGACAGTTCCCGGCCCACAGCTGGGGCAGCGGGGGAGCTTTTATGGCTCCCTGAAGCCGTACAGGTCTGTCCAGCTTGGCTGGGAGCTGAGGGTGGCAGAGTGGAGGTGGAGCTGGAGGTGCCGGGTGGTTTTGGGGCTGCTGGAAAGGAGGACATAGTGGCCGGGAGCAGCCTGGGTTGCGGGAGTGAGTGCGCTCAGCCCCCTTGTTTCCATGTCCTTCCTCCTCACACCCAGGACCTGAGTCTGAGGTCCTGAAAAGCTTCTCACGCCAGCCCTGTCCTCACTGACCAAAGGGCTGAGGTGGGGTCTTTCAGGACACTCTACCTTCCCATTCTCATTCTCTCTCTCTCTCTCTCTCTCTCTCTCTCTCTCTCTCTCTCTCTCTCTCTCTCTCTCTCTCTCTCTCTCATCTCCAACAGCAAATGGCCTTAAAGAGCTCAAACACAAAGGAATTTGTAGCTTAGTTATGCTGCCCGAAGAAAGCAAGGAATTAGAGATTAATCAGGGTCATTCCTGAAAGAGTCCATTGATCTGGCCTGACCTAAATATTTTAGGCAAAGGGGTGCTCAGGCGCAGTGGAGAGGAGCATGGTCTATAGCCATTTGGTAAAATAAAAGCAAACGTGGCCACAGCCAGAAGGAGCCCCCTCCTCATTCATTCCCTCTCCGGGCGCCACCCCACCCTCCTGGCATTCCAGCACGCCGGGCCGGGCAGTGAGGAGGAAACGGAGGACAGGAGAGCTGGACAAGATGACTTTGTACAACTCCAGCTTCCCGTGTAAATGTACATTTTCCTCCCAGGAACAGACTTTGAAGGTAGAAAATTATTAATTATATATTATGTGGGAGAAACATTGGGAATTCCAAACTAAAACTATGGTGCTTCAGAGAGCCTAGAGTACATGTTTTCTTCCTCCAGAGGATTGGAGGGAGGGGAGATTAATGGCTTCTTGCTTTTTCAGCTGTTTGGAATTGGGGGAGGGGAGTTGTGTTTTGAGGGATGCGGTGGGAGATAGGATTAGGGGGAAAGGAAGCAGGTGGGAGGAGGAACTGATAATCCTTAATACCACTCCGCATTTTCAGGTAACAGCGCTCTGCCTATGCCCCTGGCTTTGATCCTTCAACCCTGTGCGGAGGCTGTTCTTACTCCCATTTTACAGATGAGAAGCCACAGGCTCCATTCAATGAGGGGCTATGTCACTCATTGGTCTTAAACCCAATGCTTTCTCCGCTGCCCTACACTTGCCTGTGAGAGAGTCTGGAGAGGGTGGGGCAGGGGGGCTGAGATGGGGATGATCCAACGAGGGAAGAGGGAAGGTCCATGCAGATGCAAGCCTGGTGGTGACCATGGGCTGAAGGGCGTTGGCCTCTGATAAGATGCCAAGAAAGGTACCCCCCCCTTTTTTTCTTTTTAACTTTTCATGTAGTCTGGTTTGAAAACATGGACTTGGGATCTAATGAGGCACATCCACATGAGACTTAGAACCTGTATTATTAAGCACAGTGGGTTTAGGTAATGTTTATTATTAGCACATTTGACCACAGAATCTCTAAAGGAGAATAGGTAGCCCAAGGGAACTGGTGGGCTACAAAACAGGTGTTGCAGTAGAAAGGGGGAGGGTTTTTGTCTGCCTTAGGTGTGCCTGCAGGGTTGGGGTTGTCAGAATGATGGGTGACTGCTTATGAGCTATGTGTGTGTGTGTGTGCCTATGAGGGTGAGATACTGACTGGTGCGTGGCCTCGTGTGAGTTTGAGTGTGTGTGATCCATGGTGGGCAGGAAGCTTCACTGTGAGATAATGCCTGGCTATGTACAGGTGCAAAACCACTAGAGTAGGGGTGTCGAACTCAATCAGAGAAGGGGCCAAAATCTAAAATCCAGCCTAAATCGCGGGCCGAATGGTTTACTGAACAGTCATAAACTGTCATTGTGATGGAAACGCAGCGGAGTGCAGTGATGACAGCGCGGTGCGGGCCACATTGCAAGGCCTGGCGGGACGGATTTGGCCCGCGGGCCTTGTGTTTGACACATGTGCACTAGAGGAACAGACACTCTAAGATCAGGGAGAGTGGATTTACCAAATGCAGACATCACAGTGACAACTGAGTCCTTCCCCAAACTTTATTCAAAACAGTATCTCCTCCAGGTAAACCCAGGATGAGAACTGTTAGAATGGGGTGCACGAAAGCTGGGTTGAAAGGGGCTGGGAAGGGCCTCACCAGTTACCAGTTAGGAAATTTTTTTCCTTTGTATCATAATGCTTCTGTCTGTGTCCAAGAATATTTAGTTATATTCTTCAAATCTTGCAACATCCATCCATTTATTCCTACTGGAAATCAAAATCTAAGCTGGTTTCTTTACTCATTTCTGTTCTCAGCTCTTTATTCCCAAACCATCCTATTGAATTCTGAGTCCAGGAGTTCAAAGGGAGTTTCTTCCTAAGCATCTGACTCAAGTTTTGCATGATCACTCATATCCTCATCCTAGGATAATTCTGTCCGTCGGCCGTCGGCCCCCCCAATTCTAGACGTTGAAAGGGCCTTGTTGAAATATCCTTCCACAATCAGCAAGCCTGAGGAGGGACAGAAATAGAAATAGCAAATGTGACTCATGCAAAGTCTGTCTTCAGGAGCCATAATTTACACAGATCGCTGAGCCTCAGCTGGATGTTTGTATAATGGGGATGAGAATGTATATACTTGGGTTGATGCATGGAGCAAATGGAGAATTCTTTGTGGAAGATCTTATAGTATGTTATGATACCTATGGGTAGAGAGTAATTCTTACATGGCAGAAGGGTTAAAGGCTACAGTTTGAAACGACTCTTTGAAAGCCTATGATTGGTCTCAGAGTGCAAAGAGGATGGCTCTTTGGCATATTCTTGACTGAGGAGCTCAAAGCATTTAAACTGGAGGGAGTTTATTTGCTTTTATAGCTTTGGGAGTCAAGGAAAGACTCCTAGGACCTGGGTAGGCAATGTCTAAAGCCTGGGCAGGGGACCTACAGCCGTCCTTGGGAAACCTGTTCAGGGAAGAGGCCGGAGTCCACACGGCAGAGTGGCCATGGTGTTTTTCTCCTTACTGGATCTTACCACTTGTCTGTAAGAGTACTTATGATTGGTAAACTGACTTATGTAGATAGAGAGATAAAGTATGTGTGAGTGACAATTCCAAGTTTTCCCATTAAGCTTCTAGAATTACTAAAAACACAGTTTATTAAATTGAAGGACTGTTAGGTGGTAGGTATAATTAACAAACCAAGTAGAGACTCCCAGCTGAATTCTCCAAATTGGTAACCCACCAGAGAAGCACCGGCCCCGCTCTACATTCTCCATTTGTAAGTCATTCTTAAAGTCTGCATTTTCCAAGGTTTTGGAGTTGGAATACTGATGCTTCTTAATATATATATATATATATATATATATATATATATATATATATATTTGATTTTTTACAGAGAGGAAGGGAGAGGGACATAGAGTTAGAAACATCGATGAGAGAGAATCATCGACCAGCTGCCTCCTGCACACCTCCTACTGGGGATGTGCCCGCAACCAAGGTACATGCCCTTGACCTGAATCAAACCTGGGACCTTTCAGTCCTCAGGCTGACGCTCTATCCACTGAGCCAAACCAGTTAGGGCCATGCTTATTTCTTTACCTCCTTCCCAGCCCCATGTTCTGGGGACAGGTGGACCTTTTCCACCTTCTTCCCTGTGCTGTTGAGATCTCAGATCTGGAGCTGTGGGACTCTCTCACCCAGAAGCCGGGTATGCCAACTTCCCTAGGAGAGAAGAGATTTTAGGTTAGAGATTTAAAGTCTTTGGAGGGAAAGAGGAAACAAAACTATAAACATATTCTTGGAGCTTTGAGAAGAATGAGGAGTAGGGTTATGGAAGGTAAAGGCGAGTGGGTACATGTTGACATACGAGAGAGGTGAGAGAGAAGGGGAACCCTTCTTTGCCACCCAGGCTCTCCCAGGACTCAGAGTGGTACCCCTCCTCCCCCTGCCCTAATCCCCCATTAAGGCTGCTCTGAATTTGTTATGACAGCAGCTGAAGGCAGCTGAATTGCTGTTTGCTGTGTCTGCTAATTGGGCTGAAGGGTTGGAATCTGGACACTGAAAGAGACCATTGTTGCTGTTTACCTTCCACAACTGCCTCCCTGGGGACCTTCTGGGTGAAGGGGAGCAGCATGCCCTTATGTTCCTTGCACCCATTCCTGTCTCTGCTCAGGACTGGGTGGTGAGACAGTTCATCTCATTGCCTTGGAGTGTGGTGTGGGCTTTCACAGCACAGAAAAGACAAGCCCGCCACCTGAGTCAGTCTCCAGGCCAATGGGAGAGCTAGGAGAGGAGTCACGTGCCTGTCTTTTTCCCTGTGCATTCCTTCTTCTTCCATAGCTTTGCCTCTTCCTCTACCTGAGAGGCTTAACCCCTGCACTTTTAATTCTGCTTTCTCTCAAGACAGTGATTCTCAACTTGATTACATACTAAAATCATCTGGGGAGCTTTTTAAAAAATATTGATATTTGGGCTCAGCTCCAGACCAGTGAAATCAAGAGTATCTGGAAATGAGGCTGAGGCCCCAGTATATTGTATAAAAACTCCCTTGGTGTTTCTAATGTGCAACTAGGGTTAAGAACCACTGATATACTAGTAGGCAAACCCTATAAACACACACTCTCTCTCTATTTCTGATTTTCTCTACCTTTCCTCTCAAGCTCCTGATACCTATTATACTATTGGGCAGATTGTGTATCTTCCTCATCTTTATTACTAAATTTCTTGTGGGAGCCTTAGAATTTAAGATGGAGTTTAGAGGTCTGTACCCTGTCGATTACTTCTACCTGAGTTCTTCCTCGGGGGCAGGTACTATGGTTACAAGTCCTTGTGAATTTCTAGATAGGGTCCAGGTGAGGATGGAGAGAATCCTGGACACGGTATTTATTGTGGATGGAGGGGTGGGAGGTTCAGAGTTTCCCTGACTTTTATGCTCTTCCTTCCCCAAAGTAGTATTGGCAAGCTGGAGATCTTCAGATAAGAGAAACTTTTCCCAAGAATACATTTACTCCTTTCCTTACTGTCTCCGGGTGTTTCTGCTTTTTCTTTTTCCCTCTTTTTAACTTCTCGCCTGGAGTGGATGGATGCCCCATCACCCTCCCCACCGTCTGTCATCCACCATCCACTCGTCCATCGGAGCCGCCTCCAGCACCACGGACAGCTCCCGGGCCGGTGAGTGAGATGGCTGTGGCTGACCCCTGTTGAGAGGGTTAGGAGGGAGTCCTTCTGTCTGCATGAGCAGATATGAGACTCTGGCTTTTTTCATATGTGGGATGTGTTTTCAGGCAGCTCCGGAGTTTCAGGGAGAAGAGAAGGCTGAGGGTAGTTGGCATTCCATCTCCAGGAAATAGAGTTTGCGTTGGGGAGTCTGAACGACAGGGACGGCGAGAGCAGTAAGAAGGATGAGAATTAGATGTCAGGGAGGATTTAACCTAAATTCCTGTAAGACATAGAGTGAGCTGATCAGGTAGAGTTAAACTGAGCTTTAGATGTCACCAGCCCTCTGTCCCTCGTTTTACAGATCCCCAGAGAAGGGAAGAGGTGTGACCAACTCTGCTGGTTAGTGGAAATGCCAACTCCTGGCCTCCTATGGTGTCTGGTGCCTCCTTTGGGGGTCTCCCTGCTTGAGTTGGATGGAACTGTCCTAAAGCTGGTAGAGAGCGCTCACAGGTTGCCCCTTACAAAAAAGGACAGGATGCACATTTGGGCATCTGAGATGTCCACACAAGCCAAGAAGGGGTGCCACTGGCTGCCATCTCTGTCTGAGAGGCTTGGAGGGGGAAGCACAGGGGAAGGCATACCTAGCAGTAGCTGGCAAGCCCATGAGAGAAAAGACACAGTGGCAGCCATCTGCCAGGGCACAAAGACCAGAGGATGGCCACAGGATTCTCCAGAGGCCGGCAAGAGTCATGCAAACTGGAACGGGGCCTGGGAAAGGCCCTTCTGTGTGCTCCAGCCTGCTCCCCCAACATCGTGAGCCGAGAAACAAAGGGGCCATTCTCTCTAGGATTTGATGGCGCCATCTCCGGCTGGCAGTGCCAGGTGGTGGGGGCACCAGGGGGTGTCAATCTATTATCCCCCCCCCCAACTCCTAGGTCCTCTGGGGCTGGATGTTGGGGAGGTGGGTGTTTCATGCTATGTTGCTATGGCAACCTCTCCAACCCTCACCTTCTAAAGCACAAAGAGAGACAGCTTTTACCCCCCACTCCCAGGAAGAACCTGGGTCTGGTCGGGAATCTTCCCTTGGGAATCCTCTTTCAGATGCACCGCCATGATGTGCATAAGCGTCACCCTCTTTCCGGCACCCGGAGCTGAAGGGTGGGCAGTTGGTGAATCAGGAGTCTCTGGGCAAAGCCGTGCGAGTGAGCAGGAATCCTTTGTACTGAACCCTCTCTCCCCGCAAGCTCTCCTGGCCCTTACCTACGGCCAAGGCCGTCCCAGGCCTTCCCAGCTGAAGCCATGGGGCCTCGGCCTATTCTCAGCCAGAAGAGAGGGAGGAACACCCCACCGCCCCAGCAAGCCTCCAGGCTGTGGGAACAAAGAGGAGGGGGTCACTTCTGCCATCTTCCATCTGCACCTATCCGCCATTACTCATTAGGCATTCTGCCCCCTCCTTCCGCTCGTTAAGCCTGATTTGCATAGATTTGCATAATACAACTCATTTGCATTCCAGGAGGCTTGTGGTAGGAGCCAGGAAAAAGGGGGAGGAGGGTGGAGGAGAGAAAAGGGGAGAGATTTTGTTTTCATCAAAGTGTGTGTGGAGTGGGGGGCAGTGGCAGGAAGAAGACAGAAATAAAAACTCACACTACTTTCTTTCTTCCCTTCTGTCCTCCCTCCCAAGCTGGACTCAAACGCCCGGGAGATGCCAAGGGGCCGGCTTTTCTGTCCCTTTTTGTCTTGCTTCCTCCGGTCTTGGCTCCCCAGCCTGGCCCCCCACCTTGTTGGGCTCAGGCTTCAGAAAGAAAGAGACAGGGGCGGGAGGCGAGGCTGTGGGAACGGAAGCAGAGGGAGGCCGCCATCTTAGGTGACTGGCGCCTGGGAACCGGCCTCCCTGACAGGTGCGGGCCGGGAGCCAGCCCTGGAGGGTGGACACGAGGGAGGCGAGATCATACGAAGGACTTCCTGCTGGATCAGGAATGTGAGTCTTCCTGTGAGTGGAATTGGGAAGAGAGGATGGGAGAGAAGGAGGGAGGGAGAGATGAGGCGTGGCAGTGCCAGAAGAGATGGGAGCCTCACGGGAGAAGGAACAGGGTGGGGGAGAGCCTCTCCATGGGGTCCAGTTGCAGACACCCCCCGGGAGGACCGTGGGCCACGTACAAAGTACTGGAGGAATCAGAACTCGGTGTCAGCGGCCGGAGGAGCGCTTCTTCCTGTGGGACAGGCAGCGTCACGGACACCCCATCTAGCTGCTCACTGAGCCCAAACCCCGACCAGGCCTTGACCGGCTCTCAGCTAGTTCAGGCCAAGTAAAGGAACATATGGAAAGCCTGGGAGCTAGGAAAAGTCTCTGCTTCCGCACTAGAACGCCCCCCCCAACACACACACACACACACACACACACACACACACACACACACGTGCACACACGCACGCACACATGCACACGTGGGGGAGCTCTCTGGAGAGAGGTGGAGAAGCCAAGATTGGCCCCCAGCACAGTGAGTGCCCTAGATCAGGACAGGGGACAGGCTGCTGGGGACTGGAGAGAAGAACAGAGAAGTAGGCTTCAGTCCTGGAAACGCCTGGAAGAGGGAGTGACAGAGCGGGGACGGGGTGTCCAGGGCTGGGCCAGGGCTCTGAGGGGATTCTTCCAGAGCAAGGGGGTGAGAGGCGGAGAGACAGCTGAGCTGATGATCTGCCTGTTGCTGGGCAGGGGGGTGGAATGTAAGCGGGGAATGCTGGCCACGGCCCCGCCCCCAGGCCCGCCTCTGCACAAAGACCTCTCTGTGAGTGGCCCTGTCAGGTGAGGGGGCTTAGCTCCCAGGGGCTCTTTAGGGGTGCAGTGGAATGGGTTGGAGAAGGGAAGGCCTGAGGGGTGGCTTCAAGCTTTAATGGAGTCCAGGAAGGAAAGGAAGCTGAGACCTGGCCATGGTCTCACAGGACAGTGGACTCATTCCCAGACAGGCTCCTGTTCTGCTTCAGTCAGAGCCCACAGCCCCCCCCCCCCCCCCCCCTGTCCTGCCAGGCCTCCGCAGACTCCCCGGCCCACACATGCTTCTGAGGCTGATCCACTGAGTCTCCCATCTTCACAACATAGGGACTGTTTCAGTCCCCCCCCCCCCCCCGACCCTCCTGTACAGGGCTCCCTCTCCAGGGCTGGTGGAAAGGCAAGACTGATCACAGCTACAAAGGAGCCGGTGGCTCGGTTGGTTGGAGCATCATCCTATATTCCGAAAGGTTTCAGGTTTGATCAAGAAGCAACCAATCTCTCTCTCTCTCTCTCTCTCTCTCTCTCTCTCTCTCTCTCTCTCTCTCAGCATATTCTCAGGTGAGAATTAAACACACACACAAACACACACACACACACACACACACACACAAGGACTCCCCAGACACCTCAGTTTCCACACCCAATCTTGTCCTCCCCAAAGAGGCTTTTCCCCTTGCCGGCCTGTATCACTGATTGCTAATCTGAACTATCCTGCAGGTGCCCCAACCGGAGATCAAACCTGAAGCCTGGGCAGGTGCCCTGACCGGGAACTGAACCTGCAGCCCTTTGATGCACAGGACAGCGCCCTAATCAACTGAGCCACACCAGCCAGGGCAAGTAGGTTTTGCTTTTTGACTCAAATCAGACAGGCTGGTTGGGATACACATTCTGGCTTTCCTCCCTTCCGAGCAGGTACCTTAGACAAGCCACCTAATGCCCCTAACTTAGTTCCACCGTGCTGCTTGTCGGAGTCAGTTTTGTGAGGCTGCGGGTCAGATGGGTAGGAGTGAATGGGTTTTGTGAGGCTGTGTGCAGGTGGATAGTGATGACTGTAAATACGGAGGGGCCACGGCAGGGAGGTGAGGACCACCAGGGGAGGTTTCCAGGGTTTGGAAATGAGGGCATGGCTCACTGGGTGCAGCTCATGGCCAAGGGCACTGGACTGGCCGGGGTGCCCAAGTGGGTGAGCATCTCGCAGAGCCTGGTTTGGGAAGTGCATTCGTTTTTTTTGTTTGTTTTTTATTTTTAAAAAGCTGCACACTTACTCTGGCTTTTTTCTTTCTTTTTTTTCTCTTTATTTAAAAAATATATATTTTATTGATTTTTTACAGAGAGGAAGAGAGAGGGATAGAGAGTTAGAAACATTGATGAGAGAGAAATATTGATCAGCCCCCCCACACACACACACACACACACACTTCCTACCGGGGATGTGCCTGCAACCAAGGCACTTGCCCCTGACCAGGATAAAACCCGGACCCTCAGACCACAGGCCGACACGCTGTCCACTGAGTGACGACCGGGTGGTAGACTCCTCGACCACAGCTTCTTCCATCCACAGGGTAAAGGCTGTCCAGCAGGCCCGGGAGGGGACGGGGCAGTGAAGCTCAGATCCCCCACTGCCCTGACCTGCTCCGCTCCCTCCCTGCAGCCCGTATCTCAGCTCACCATAGGGAGCCGGCCAGACTGGCCTCCACTGAACCTGTGCACCATGGTGTCTCCAAGCCTTGCCACTCAGGACCCTCTCAAGTCCCTGATCTTGTGGTTCCTCAGCATCGTCAGGAGTGCGCTCAGTTCAGATCCCTCAGCCGTGGTCCAGGGAGACTTCACGCAGGAGGGGCTTTTGTCTCTAAGCAGTCGTCCCTTGTTGTACAAGCCAGGAGCTGGGAGGACTGGTTTTGGCATCGTCCCCCACAGATAGCAGTGGGGCCTTTGGCTCTGGAGGGAAGGGGCAGGCGGAGGCTGGCATATGGAGGGAGAGCCCTGGGCACAGGGGACATGAGCTCCACCCGCTGGGGCTGCCTTCTGCTGGGTTCATCCATCTGGCACCAGCTGGCTTCCCCACGCTGCCCTGCAACCAACCAGACTCCTGCTGTTGCCATGGCAATTGGCTGCCATGGTACACTCAGGGCACTATCTCATCTCTGGAGTTTCCCATAGGTCCCTGAGGAGGGGAGATAGGTCTTCGGGGATGTAGCCCTCCCTCCTGCTATTTATCCAATGGGAATCTGTGTTAATATGTGATTTGTATTATTGAATATGGCTAGGAAAGCAACGATGAGGTACAATTGAAGAGGTCCCCACCCAATTTCCTGTTTCTATGACAGACTTTTCCTCTTTCCAACCAGGAAGTTCTATGATCTTGCTTATTTCTATCTTGGGAAGTCCTTCCCAATGTCTAACCAGGATCTGTACTGTTGACACACCAGTTCTGTGACCCTGGGCTTGACGTGACTGATTTGAAAGGTAAGGAAGAAACTGCCACCCAGCTTCAGTCACTTGTTTGGGCCTCTGCAGAGAGTCAATGTCACCAAATCCTTGGGACTTTCCCTTCTTTGCCTCCATCTTCACCCAAAGAAGCAAGAGCCAGAGACCCTGGGAGAGTGATCGTCTCCCGGGGTTCGGGATGGGGATGGGGGGCCTTGGAAGGCACACTTCGTCTCGCCATTGGGAGGTTCCAGCAGGGCCCGGAAGAGATCCTGGGATGGTGAGCGTTTGCCCTCCCCCTGGACTCCAGCAGAAAGGAGAGATTGGTCCCTTGGCCTGAAGGGCGTCTGCACTGGCACTGAGCAGGCCCACGCTGGGAGGGAGTCCGGGATAAGGAGCAGGTGGGGAGAAAAGGGCCATTCTCAATGAGGAAGAGTGGGCTGCAGGGAGGGGCTGGGGTAATTTATGATATCATTGTTCCCCACCCCACTTCCCCGCTCCCACCTCTTCCCAGACCCCTGCTCTGAGCTGTTGCTAGGAGATGCTGGCTCAGTCCGGGGCTGGGCGGGGGAACAGGTGGAAGCTGCTCCATCTGGACTCCTCTTCCTCCTCCTCCACTGGGGTTGGGGGTGGGGGTCCTTCATAGACCTTCATCCACCACCCTTCCCCAGGCCCTGACAGGCACCAGTCTCTTTTGCTGTTGCCCCAGTCCAGCCAATCAGTGCTGGGAGGGGTCCCCGGCAGCCTGAGAATCTGGAACAAGGAATGGGGAGGGAGCTGTGGAGGGAGAGGCAGGCAGGGGCACAGGCCAGAGAGCCCAGGTTTGAGGAAGACCAAGTCCTTACCTCTGGGGACGGGAGGTCCGCCTCACCCAGCTGCAGACCTCCCATCCCCACCCCTTCAGAGTATGGTCAAGGTCAAGGTTCCGGGCCTGGGGCGGGGCCTGGGGAGGGAAGGAGAAGGTGAGGAGGGAGGAGGGAAGTAAGTTTGGAAAGACGGAGTCTGGGGAGGAGAAGGTGACGGGATCGGATCTGATGGGCAGTGTCGGCATGGCTCAGAGTCCCTCCTTTCTGACATTCTCTCCTCAGGTCTTGAAGCCCTTGGAGAAGTGAACTGTGGGGCCTCCAGAGCTGCTGGCTTCCAAGCCCAGACGGCGCAGGAAAGGAGTGACTTCCCCACAGCCATGCATCGGACTCCTGTTTCCTGCAGCCCTCATCAGGTCCTTTCCTGGCACAGCTCCCCACAGCCCAGGAAGGAAGGAACCGGCCTTGACCAGGCGCCTGCTAGCCTGTGTAAGCCCTTTCTTAGCTATCCTCTGGGTCCATCTCCCAGAAGTCCTGAAAACCGGGCGATATCGTCCCCACTTTACAAAGGTGGAAAGCAAAGCCCCGAGAAAGACATGCTGCCCAGAGTCATAGGAACCATAGGTTGGGCCGGGCTTCAAACGGGGCTTTGTGGATCCCAGAGCCTGTCCTCGCTCCCTCCCTTGCTGTGCTCACTGCCAGGAGAGTGCGCTCCACACACAGAGGGAGGGGCTGAGGACAGGGCAGCAGGTAGACACACGGAGTGGGGGGAGGCTGGGACAGACTTCACAAGTTCTCAGGGGAGGGGTGAGGCCTGCTTCTTAGGTGCAGGGCTGGAGTGTGAGGGATGCCCACACACTGCTTGCTGGCTGAAGACAGGGCTGGAGCAGATGCCACAGGAGCTGTGGGAGTCCCCCAACTCCTCCCAGGTTGGTCCCGGGCCAAGGGAAGCATGAGTCCTGCCTCCTGAAGCAAGTCCCCCAGGCCTCCACCCAGCCTCTCACCTGCTTGGCATCTGAGTCTCCACCCTGGCACCCCTGTGCCCGCAGCCCCGGGTGGAGGTGCCGAGAGTCAGCTGCTGTCCTGGTGGCCCCTTTGTCCGGGGACCCTCCCACCCCTTTCCCTTCCCTGGAGGAGGAGAAGCCCTTGCAGGGCCACTGGACACTCCATGGAGGTTTGCCCTCTGCCTCCTGCTAAGGTCTCCATCCAAACACTTTTTCACTCTTGACATTTTTTCCTTTTCAGACCAAAGAGAAGAACCTGCTTCACCCGTTGGCCTGGGTTTCCTCTAAGAAGCCTTCCTGGATTGACTGAACGATGAGGCTAAATTCTGCTAAGTTGACTGCGTCCTCCAAGAAGCCCTCCAGGGGGATGGAAGTGGGAGGCACAGCCCACCGCCCCGGGAGCCCCTGGGATAAGACTTGGCTGCACCCTTGCTCCTGTTCCATCCCATCCTGGTTCCTCCTGTGCCGTCTGAGCTGAGATTCCTGAGATGGAAGCCCCATGTCCTGCCTAATAAAGACTTTTGACCACTGAACAGCAGTCCTAGTGGCAGTAGATGTCCCTGGACAGGGTTTGGAGGGGAGGGACTGAATGAGAGGAGGGCAATCCTGGGCTCCCACCCTCTAGGAGACCAAAGCCAGAAGCCACTATTGCAACAGGAGAAAGCCAGAACTCCATGGTGGGGCAGGGGTAGGGGAGCAGCCACCCAGGGATCCTGGGGAGAAAAGGGCCGGTCTCAACTGAGGGAGGATCTGGTCAGTCCCAACTCAGAGCAATGGCCTAAAGCTCCCAGCCAAGGAGGCCCCTCAACATCATCCCAAGAACCAGGAGAATAGGGGAGGTGGGTTGCTTCCTCGGAGTGCCTGTGTGGGAGGTCACCGGGTGGATGGGCCTCTGTCTGCTTCATGGAGTGTCCCTCAGATATGTCCTCCTGGGTTTGAACTGACCACAAAGAGCACCCCTGTGCCACAGGCCCACCCACTCCTGCTTCCTCCCTCAGTCGTGATAGAAGGGAATGAGGGTGTCTATCAGGAGGAATGCAGGTGAGAGAGCAGGTAGGACTTTTCAATAAGATCTTGAGTGGGAAGCGTCAGGGGCAGGGGTACCACATCAAGAGGCTGGGCCTGTGCTCTC